TTCCAGCAGGCGTTGCAAAATGTCTCAATGCGACCACTTACTTTTCCGGATTGCCCCCGCTCGTCAATGATGAGTCGACAAACTCATTCCTATATTGCCCGTTGCTTCTGCATGCGGGGCAGCTTTTACAGCGTGAAGCTGCAGAGGCTTGGGCTGGGGCGATCCCTTGGTTTGCAGATGCGTGTCGCCACCTCGCTGCGCACACTGTCAGCTTGAGCTTCCTCAATCGCGCATATGCCGAGTTGTTGCAGATTTCTTGTCAGCAGGACGTGTCGATGGTGCAGCACTTCAACCAAACCGGTGATGCTGCCGCAGCACAATATTTGAGTGAAGCTAGTGCTGCTCAGCCAGATTTGGATGCCACACTGGGGGTCATCCTTCCGGGAGTCGTTGATCGTCATGGCCACATCCCGAATCAGCTGCAAGACTTCTTGTTGCAAGTTTTTGGTGGTTACCGCTTGGCTTCAGCGTTGGATTCTGCGGCCACTCACTTTCGAAACCATGGTGGTTGGCTACCATCCTTGCCTGCGTATGGTGATGCAGATGTGCCTGCTCATGCACCTCGCGTTATGCCGTCAGGTCCCAATAACGCGTTCCTTCCCGTCAGTCCCCTCCGCCTGACTTACGACTCGGGTGCGCCTGCGCAGCCTCTTGGAACCGGCCCCGCACGTTTGTCGCGCACGTCGTCCGAGCCGCCACCATTTGCACGCGGTGCTCCTGAGGACGAGAACTCTGTTGGGGGTTTGCTTAACGTCCTGGAGCTACATGAACATGCCTGTTCGCGTCATACCGCTTCCCGATCTGGAGCTCAGCGGCGATGTTGTGTACGCAACAATAGAGTTGCACGTGGAACCGAATACATTCGTTGTCCTCGGGGTTGTCGCTTTGTCGCGTGTGGTCAGTGCGTGTGGCCCGCCGCAGATCAGGTTGCTGTTCAGAAATTTTCGGGGCGGCATGATGCGGGTTGTGGTGCTGGCGACGTGCCGCAAGTAGTGGAACCTGTCCACAACCGTCGCCGTGCACACTGCACTGATGAACAGCGCATTCCTGACTCACACAATGCTGAGTGCACATGTTTGAGATACACCCGGGTGTATTTAACTGGGGACACTGGGCAAAGGAGCAATGGCTGCGGTTATGGTTCAGAGGATCAACCATCGGAACGAAGCGGTCCCGAATTTCCAATAAAAGCTCCTGCATGCGCCCTTGGTGCTCCACCAGTTGCCCAGTGAGAGTTGGCCGAAGGCACTCCAGCCGCAGCCGTAGCATTTTCATCACCGGACGACACCACTGGGGGACACAGGACTTCAGCAGGCGCGTGTGGATCACAACCCGGAATTGTTGCAACTGTTGGCGCAGCAGGCCCACCAGCACGAGTTGCCAAACAAGCAGCCGGAGTTGGCGGGCCTGCAGGATGTGCCTCAGAACACGGAACCGAATCAGCTGAGGAAGGGACATTGGAAACAGAACTGGGAACAGGACCGTCCAAAATAAGCGGACGCGGCACATGAAACTCTGCGCCGGGCCGTCGATCAGGACAAGCATCCAAAGACACGTACGTCCAAGGCTCGAAGAGAGGCAACAACATTTGACGGGTCGCCTGTTCCTCCCCATGGAGGAAAATTTTCATTTGAGCTACATGGTACAGAACTCCACATCTAATCCGACAAGGTCTGCCGGACTCAGAACGACTGGGTTCACTAATGCGTAGCCACACTCCCCATGATGTTGGGCCTTCAATACGCAAGTTTGGCTGGCCGATGTCATCAAAAGCATGTGCGTCAATCATGCTTTGTACACGCTGAACATATTCATCTCGCGGAAGGCACAAAAACCGTGTGAAATGGGTGAGTTGCGGAGCGGCGCCCGCGGCAGTGGACGCTGGAGCATCGCAAACGCTAGAACCTGCAGCACGCGGCCCCGAGCGATTCTGGACTGCAGCGCGGTTGCCAAAACTTGATGTCTCCCCGTTGTGTGGCCCGGCGTTGTGCGGATCATTGTGATTCTGGGCATTGTCGTGTGCATAGAGGCTCACATGGCCCAGCAGGACATGCGTGCCAGTCATCGGCCCCTGTTTGTAGACGTTCTGGTTGTGCTAATCTGATTTCAGCCTCCTGTGTGACTGGATACTGTCCAAACCATTATGGAGGGATGCGGCGTTAGTTAGGCTTGCGGAGACCGGTGTTAGTGGTTCGATGTGGTCGGTAATTGCAGACCTCCTTTGTGAAACCACAGCTCGAGTCCGTGTGAATGGTCTGACTTCGCAGCCTTGGACAGAAACGGCCGGCGTGCGCTGCTTTTCAACATCTTGTTCAATGGTATTGCCGATGCTGTGCGTGCAGTATGTCCGGGCGTTGCGTTGGGCCCTGGCCCAAGCGCCCCTCGCGTGACACTTCTTCTGTACGCTGATGATCTGGTAATCTTGGCAGATGATGCAGCGACCTTGCAACGTGCCTTAGATGCTATCGGCAACTGGGGCGCACGGTGGCGTTTCTCTTTTGGGATTGGTCCCGAAAAAACAGCTGTGATGCTTGTTGGGTCCAGGCTCCTGAACTTCCACTTTTCCTTGCAGGGTTGTGCCGTCCCGTGCGTGCCACACTACACCTACCTAGGTGTTACATTCGCAGCCTCTCGAAAATGGCGTCAACATGAGACTCGGCTCATAGCTAAAAGTACTCGCCGATTTTTACAGTTTTTGTGTTGGGCCGAAAATCGCCAGCTACACACAGGATTCCGCAATGCTCTATTCCAAACCTATGTTTTGCTTTCCACGCTGTATGGCACACAGTTCCTTGATTCAGCGACGATTGCTCGCTTGGACAAGGTCATCCGCCAGTGGGGGAGACGTTTGCTGCAATGGCCCAGTGGTGCACCGGGGGCAGCAGTCCTTGGTGAGCTTGGCTGGGCACCCTTTCTGTTTCAGGTTAAGCGCCTGCAGTTTGGTCTTTTTGGCAGACTTTCTGCCACAAGCACGCGCGACGTCCGCAGAGGCTTGGCAGCACGCGTCTTCAATTTTGCCGTGAGTCGACCAGGCTCTTGGGCATATGAGACCGCCCAGACCTTGCATCAGGATGGCGTCATGTCTCCGGCATCGTACGGGGTGCTCCCGGGATCGGGTCTTCGACGTGTCTGGCAGTGGACTAGGCATCAGGTTGTACAAACCTTGCAGCAACGTGCTCATGCGAGTTACCGCGCAGAATTGCTGGCAGTACCTTCGCTGGCCAATTATGCGGTCTATCAGCCTCGATTGCATTGCCTGGTCAGCATACACTCCTCCGGGCTCCCCATCTCCGCAGTCCGAGAGCGGACCCTGGCCCGGTGTGGCCATCACCCATTTACGGATGGTAGGAGCGCCCGTCATTCGCACAGGACGGACTCTCTGTGCCTTTGTGGTGACCAGTGCAACCTGCTTCACGCAATTCGAGCTTGTCTATTGCTGGCCTCGCAACGGCGTCACTGGCTCACTCGTCTGGGGTTACAGCGCGTTCCTCAGTTTGGAGATGATGAGTTGCTTCGCTGGATCTTTGACCCCAGCTTGGTTCTGAACAGTCGTTCATCTGTCAATGCTCATGTCCACTATGTGGCAGCCATCTGCCAGATTGCTCGCAACTTGTTGGCGGGCTTGCAGCTATGAGCGTAGTACTGGATTGTTCGGTGGCCAATGTGCCTGGCCGTTTGTAGTGTATATATGTACTGACCGTCAACGGTTGTTCAAGGACAGACTGGCCAGGGGATGCTGCCCACCGAGGACGAGGTGTTGGCTGACCGCAAGGATTGCCTGCACTAATACGAACGGACGTTCGCGGAACAAGTCGAGAGCCGCCCGCCAAGCCTGACCTAGTTCCGGATGCGCGGCCCACAAAGGGAGCACGGTTCGGCCTGCCGCTGCGAGGAGGAGTGGGACGTAGATGGGTGAATTAGTTGGCGCGGCGATGGGTTCCAGCGGGGGGCCGAGTTCGCCGCAGGCAACACGCGTTTCGGGTTGAACACGCGAGGGCGTGGCAAGGGGCCCGCAACACACCCAGCCGCGCTGATTGATCCGGAGATCGACATGCCATGACGCCAGGCGCCCGCAGGAGCGCATGCAAATCCAGCGTGCTTCCCGAGCATCAGCCACGGAGAACGTGCGTGGATACAAGCAGCGCGTCGCTGTGCAACGGAGCGAACGTGTGGCGGCACGTGGGGCAGTAGCCATGGTGGTGCAGGCATGCCACCAGGCAGCCCAAGTGCACGGCTCCGGAACAGGACGGGAAGTTGGGGCGGCGTGCGGTCCGGGGGCGCCCGGGCGAACGTCCTCCAAGCAAAGTGGGCAAGCCCGCGCAGCTGGGGCTTCACCCGCAGGGGCGGGAGCCAGCGGTGTCCGGTCTCCAAAGGAGAATTCGGGTGAGGGGCTGTCGGGCACGGTCAAGGGGGAGGCGGGGAGGAAGGGTGGGGAAAGTGCACGCCGCGACATGTTGCAACCGTTGCTGTGCAGGGTATGTAAAGGCCGTTACAAATGATGTGAGTTTAACAGTTTGCTGTGCAAGGCTATATGCAGCGACCTGCAGCAGCGGCCACACGCAAAAGGCGGGCCGCAGGCCGACCGAAGTCGGCGTTGCCACGAGGCGAGCCTGCAAAGAGGGAATAGCAGCGACGGATCGTACAGCTCGACTGACTGGCAGGCGTGAGGCCGCGGCCAGAAGATTGAATAGCGACTGGCTGAGGAGGCAGGCAGCAGCACGCCGCAGGCCCCCAACCTCAGCGCAGCAAGTGACAGCACCACGGGTATGATCCGACAGGGGCTCTTTCTTTAAAAAAATAAACGGTGGCTTGGCCGAGTGCAGGGGCAAGAGCTGGTCTGTTGGCAGCGCGCCGCAAGCCTTTGGGGAAGGTAGCGGCCGAGCGCAGGCCGAAGCGGCGCCCCCTCGAACTCGGCGGGCAGCGGCACGCCGCAGGCCCAACCTCAGCGTGGCAAGTTACCGCAGGACAAGGTAATGAGAGTGATGGCCCGCCAAAAAAGATTATATTGGAAAAGGAAAAAGTGGCGTTTTGCAGATCACAAGGGTCGAGGCAGGGCCGTGGGCAGCGCGCCGCAAGCCTTTGGGAAAGGCAGCGGCCGAGCGCAATCCGAATCGGCGCCTCCTCAAACCCTGCGCTTCGCGGGCCGATTCCTCCGCGTACCACCTCGGCGCGTAGGCTGTTTGGGATTTGCTTTGGCTGCGCCGGGCCATGGGCCGCGTTGGTTTGGGTGGGCGAACCGCAGATGCAGAAGCTGCAGGAGGAGCCGAGGGTGCGTGTGCCCGTCGCCGCGCCGGCGGTGGTGGGGGTGTCGGTGGCCGAGGCAGGTCGGAGGGTGCCACACTTGGTGGGTTTTGGGGAGCCCGCTCGCCAGCGAGGCTCCCCCCCGTCGCAACGAAGTCGGCGACGTTGATGAGGAGGAAGTCGCGATCAAGGACGGCCACGAAGGAGTTTTGGCCGAGCGTGGCCTCCACACATTGCATGCGGCGGCACAAGGAAGCCCTCCCCTGTACCTACCCGACGCCCCCCAGCTGCCCCCAGGGCCCAAGGGCGTCGAGAGACCCCCCAGCTGCACGACAGTGCCCAGGAGCAGTCTCGTTTTCTCTGAGCCACACCTTGCGCCAACATGCTGTACGTGAGCCAAAATGGCTACGGTTTGTTTTCTTGCATTTTACCGTTTGCAATGATGGGGCGATGTGTATTTTGATAGACTGGTCGCGCATTTGCGTGCGCGTTGCAAGCCGGGCAGCGTTTACAGCATACACGCACAACAGCTGTTTTGGTCCAGGCAGGAACGAATGACCAAAAAACCATATTGCAGAAAGTGTGGTCTTGCATCACCAGTCACAAGAGAACATCGGCAAATAACAAAGCAACAAGTGCAGCAGAATACTTGCTGGGAAATTGTATTCGCATGTGCGCTTGCATGACAACTTCTCATGCTAAATGGAAGCCGTTTGGGATCATTGTGCTGGAAGTTACGCTGGTCCACGGCCCAGCATGCTAAGCAGGGAGGAAACCTTTCGCTGTAGATTCCTCTGCAGGGAACTCCCCGTGCAGTGATTGCTGAGTGTCCCGCAACTAAGTTCGGCGGCTGCAGTGCATGTACGGCAAGATCTGCTGAGAAAAACGTGGCCGCAGGCAGCAAGCTGCAGTTGAGCATTTGTTTTCGTGGCCGTCCATGTTTTCAGTGTGAGAGTGGTCGAAAGCGATCCCTGTTCGTGTGCATTTTTCATCCAAGTCATGTTATGTATCTCCACGCATTCAAAGCTGTCCGTTGTTGGCATGTCATCTTCTTTAATTGCAACATGTGTCTCAACACGATGCTTCTGATTGATTACTGGGAACGTGAGCCTGATCACAGTGTTTTCGGCACCATTGGTGGGTTATGGTGTACTGCAACAAATGCAAGGAGCTGTGTAGCAAATGTGTGAAAGAAAACAGATATGAGCGGAACCAGATGGTGCGAATCCCTGCTGTTGAGTGATGTTTGAGAGAATGGAGCATAAGACGCGATTGAAGCAAATGTTATGCACGACATTTCGCAAAGCTGCGCACCGAAGTAATGCAGCGTCCAGACAGCTCTGGGTTTGCATGAGGATCGCTCCATCTGGGACGTCGGTAAAAAGTGTGAGAGGTAAAGGAAGTTTAAAACAACTTGGTGGCAATGCTTTCTTCTTTGTACAGGCGGGTAGGCATGAAACACGTTTGTTTTGAATGCACACACCGATGCCATGCTCAAATTTGGCCGATACCAAGAAGGTGATTTGAAGAATGGCGTTTACAAGCAGACGTTTGTTTGTCAGCACCGGACGTGGGTGTTGTCATGCGGTGTCATGCGGTGTCATGGGGCGCCTCATAGCACAAGGCGTTTATAAACATGCGATGGCACCGTATGGGACAAATGGGTCTCGTCTATAATTTGGAAATTTCATCGTATGGCAAGCACACTATTTGAAAAACACGCGGTGCATTCCGGAAAAAAATGGTGTCAACTGTTGCTTTGCTTGCAGGCACCCCCAGAGTGGATTGAGGAAGCAGAGGCCAAGGCACGGTTCTTGTCCGACCGCTGTGCACAAGACAAGATTCATGCAAACGTGTGTAAGTGTAGACCAAATGTCCACTGTAAGGAGTTACTGCGTACCCATCTAGAATCACCTGATTTGGCCGCTTGGCTAATTCTGGCTGTTTTGATCTTTGCTGTTTTGAGTTTGGCGAATATGGTCATCGGCGTTGTGCCCACGAGGAAGACGCTCTAGCAGCAGTTCTGACGGCTTCCGCTGCTTACCCCTTCCCAGCATCAAGCAGCCATTTCGTTCGTACAAGGTGCCGGACATGAGGCAGTGGTAAGGTTGGGAAGAGTCAAGTGCCAGGACATTGTTGTCGCTCGTTGAGCCCTGCGATGCCCATGTGTTGGAGGCGGGCGTATGAAATTGTTAGGGGGAACTGAGCGAAATCTTTGCCCCGTCCCGTGCTGGCAGGTCAAGTTGGAAACTTGGCAGCTTTCAGAGTCCAGATGTGGCCTCGCAGCCGGATCTGCAAGGACACCTGTGCTTGCTTCTCAGGACTCGCTTCAGTTTGATTCCGTGGTGCTGCGCTCAGCTTCTACATGGAACGGTGCAGAACGGGACGCTGCGGGGCGCCGTTTTTGCATACGTAAGGTTGTGCAAAACTTGGTTCCGAACTAGCAACATCTAGGCCCGCCTAGCAAAGTTTTCCGAGAAACAGCAACGAAAAAGTAGTGATACCCCTCACATCCCCAGTTGCTCCTCCACTCCCTTCCCTTCGGTGGTGGGGTTTGGAGCTCCAGGGTTCAGAGTCCCGCCACCCCACCGAGCCCCCCATGTGGTCGGGTTTTGCGTTGGCAGGCCTTAAGTCTTCATCAGGGTTTGAGGGTTTGAGGTTTAAGTAGTGCAGAGTTTTTTTTTAAGGAGGCCTTGCGCGCGTCGTCGCGCGCTTTGGCGCCATCTCAAAAGAAGGGCTCTTAACCGCACGTGCTGTTCGGTGGTTGTGTTCGTGAGGGTTAACTCTTGCGGGCTTGCGGTGTGGTCCGGCTTAAGGTGAGGGAAATGTCTGGCAGCACCGACTTCTAAGTAGTATGGGAATTGCATACCACGACGTCTACCTTTGAGGAGAATTCTGTCTTTGTACGAGGCCCCGAATACAATGTCATGTGTTATCTGATCCCTGTCCTGTTGAAAGACCCTGACTAGATAATATCTGTACTGGGCGTCGGTAAGAAATTGTGAGGGCAATCGAGGGTATTGGGCTCGCCTCCAAACCTCAGAGTTGGGAATTCGTGAGTAGTCGATGCCTTAATTCTAAGTGCTCGCCTAAGGAACCGGGAATACTGGCCGTCGACCCTTTTGAGCTGTTTATCCGTTAGGGAGGGGGTTGAAGTGTGTTGGAAGGCTACTTCGACGGGTTTGATCCAGGACAGCTGTGATCCTAAGTATTTTGCTTGCGGTGTGGTCTTGACTGCTGAACCATCCCTGAACGTAAGTCCTTTCGGGCACGATTTGGGGTGCTCGATAACTTCCATTTTAGATTGGTTCGGCACGCGTTTCGTGTGAGAGGGTCCTCGATCAGGTTCCGAAAACGTACCAAACTCGTGCTTTAGTACTCGAACGTTCGAAGTTTGTTTTTTGATATTTCTATTTTTTGATCCTGGGCTGCTTTTTTTTTTGATCCCTTTTCTTGTTTTTGATGCTGCAGCCCCTAGGGTTTAGGGCTTTCGGATTTTAGGGTTTTGGGGTAGGGCCGGGTAGGAGGGGCATCCTCGAAAACGTGACTGTTGGCACCTTTGTGAACGTGAAGAAGATACGAGGTGCGAACAGTGACGACAGTTTCAGTTTCGGACGGCGAACTTAGAGGGGGCTACCAGGGCCCAGGAGCGGGCATCATACACATGTGTGGTAGGAACGCGAAGCTCCAAAAGGACGACAATTAGGGAGGGGGGGATATGTACAAAAGTGTATTGAAACGCCACAACCCCGCTCCACCGCGTCCTAGGCTCAATATGTAGGCCTTCGCCACATGGGTTTGGAGTCGCTGAGCTGCTGAGGCCAAAGATGGCGAAGATGAGAACATTTCGCACGCCTACCACGTGCGCTTTAGATTACATGGGGCTGGTCCGTGGGCCATGGGCCCAGCTTACGAAGGGTAGCACCTGGCTATCACTATCACTCACGGTATTCCTGTTGGTAGACCTTTCGAGCAGAGTTGCTAAAAAGTCAGGTGAACAGCCCGACATTTGTTGTCCACGACAGTGCGGACAGAGGACTTGGTGCGGTGCTGTTTTCTTTCATCATCTAGCGTCATTTACTGCAAGTCGTGCGTTAGAGAGAGGCATCAGGGTGTTGAGTTTCGAGCCCAGCAGGACCAGTGGAGGTTCAGATGGGGACGGCAGTGCGCTTCCTGGTTCCATTGTCTGGTGGGGACAGTCGCCTGGCAGCGAAGATTTGGCAGTATTTGTGGGTTTTGACCCCTGTTGAGCTTCTTTCGCCACCAAGGCCTGACCCATCTATTTAGTGGGAACTTGGCTACGGGGCTGGAGATCCAACTTCGTGAGGAAACTAGTACCTCGAACCGCCGCTTGTCTTGAGATTTATTCCAGCAGGTTCTGCCAGTGCGAACTCGTAGTACATTGTTGGCATTGTATGCAGCAAATCACTCTCTTTTTCGTTGCTCGGTTCGAGTAGGTTTTGTGAACCTCGAGCCCGTTGCAGGTTGGCTCAAGGTCACGAACACATAAGCTGCAACACTTTTCGGTAGCCGCGGTGCAGCGATGGCACAAGAAACCAGTGACTGGGTAGGGCACGGTCGAAAATTGAATCCGCATTCCGCCTTGTATGCGGAGTGTGTACGGCAAAAACACATTCCGATCTTCTAAATGCCTTTGTTGCTTGAAGGTAGGTGCGGAGGATTGTTGAAGAAAAAATCTCGTGCACTAGCAGTCATGCAAGGCACCAGTTTACATGGAGAACTTGTTGCACCAGATTCTGAGATGCACTTTGGGGAGGACGTGTGGCACGTGAGAGGCAAGCAGCACAAGCAAAACCAGGCGAAGGTTCATCCGACATTGACCTATTGCGACATGGATAGTTCGATTGATGAGCTAGGGTTTAAATTCTCGGACAGTGGGAAGAAGTTTGTCTGCGCATGGTCACGCATGATCACGTATTTGAGTGCAGACATCCGTCAAGGAGCTGCTTGCCTTTTTCATTGATGCCGACGAGTCAGATGGACATGGTTCCTTTCGCACAAAGATCCGGCTTAGCCGACCTGGAGCGTCCTTGAAACCGTGCCTGCTTCTGGGCTGCGAACATGTGTATGTAATGTTTGTATTAGTGTTTGTGGTACAAGAGTTTCGAAAACATGAGACAAGTACCCATTGCTGATGACCCAAACCAGGCTTTCGTGCTCCGCAGCCTCTGTACCGCAGGGAGATTGGCTGGGCCATCATGTGGCTTGACTTCTCTAT